TCCCACATAATTTTTCAGATGCTTTTGGAAAAAATTACTGAAAATTAATTTCCAGTTTATAATTTCTCTTAGAATTGTTCTATGAATTGCAGTGACTGTTTATGCTGAAAAGATAGGTCTAAATAAAATGCCAAGTAAAGTGCTTATCTAAATAATTGTAATACTCTATTCCTTTTTGTTTCTATTCAAAACTAAGTTTCATTGAATTTAAAAACTTTTTAAACTCTTCATCAAGTTGAGCTTGATTCTTGATAACTTCATGGATATATTTGTGTAATTTTCTTAACAGCAATAGGAAGATGTTTTGCCATAGCTTTTCTCTGGTATGCTTTTTTAAAAAAAAAACTTTTGCACTTTAGTTCTCGTAGGATTGATGCAGCTTATTTGCTTTTTATTTCAAAAGCTATGCTTCTGCAATAAAGACATGAACCTGTTTTTCCTTTTTCCTTAACTTTTTAAACAAATTGCATTATGTTTATATTAATCTGCTCCTGTAGTTAAAACAAATGCGTGTGGTTTCTTCTGTTCTGTATAAAGTTTGGATAGCAGCTTACATGGAAATGATGCAAGTCTGATTATAAAATTAAAATGCAGGATCTTTTTAAACTGTCATTTATAGTATATTCCCAAGAGTGTTGGATATAAATTCTTGTTCAGAGTTCAGGTATCTGTTGTTATTAATTGTTATAATGTTATTTGTCGCATTATTCAATTCACCTTTGGAATTCTAGGCTGTTTTAAGATACCATATAGTGACAGTTCAGAAGTGCAGAATAAGTTGACATTTTTTTTTACCTATTGCAAACTAATGTATAAGTGGCACATAAAACATGCAGACTTAATTTACTAAATTTAAAAAGGATATATTTGCAATATATCAGACAGAATTTATAATTCTTTAGAAAATTTCACACAGGTCAAAAGAATTCAGTTATGACACTAATTATTGTGTTTCTTCTACTAAATATATATAAAAATATAAGTTAAGTGAACAGATATTCAGAAATTACTAACTATATAAGGTGAGGAATAGCTTAAATTGTCTATAGCTTTCTTGGAACAACAGAGGCAAGTAGGACTGGGTTCTTTAAGAAAAATGATCTGATGTAAAGCTCTTTTTATAGTACATACTCACTTTGAAAACAGAACGAAATACAGTTAGAAAACCAATGGGAGATAGTGATGCCAGGAACAGCATTAAATACAATTCTCTATATTTTCCCTCGAGGAAGTACACTGTATAACACAACAGTTATACAGATCTAGGACAAGATTGACAGCTTTGTGCATTGCTGCTGGGGTGGTGGTGATGCAAAATACCTAACATGAAATGCAACATATAAGCAAACCTTCTGGGGGCATGGATCATCCATTCCTAGAAGATTCCTGAGGTTTGTGGACGTTGAAAGTGTATGAATATCTTTCTAGGAATGAAAGTTCAGTCTCTCTTATACACATGCACATATATGTGTGCACATGTGCACCCACAAATTCATAAACCTATCCTTTTAGGGCAGTGTTTCTCAACCTTGACAATTTTAAGGCATGTGGACTTCAACTCCCAGAATTCCACAGCCAGTAATTGCTGGCTGTGGAATTCTGGGAGTTGAAGTCCACATGCCTTAAAATTGTCAAGGTTGAGAAACACTGTTTTAGGGAATGTTTTTTTAATTACTACCTTTGGAAATCCATGTTCTCTGTATTTTTTTTTTTACAGTGGGTTAAAAAAGAGTAGGAAGTGAATAATGTACAGAACTAACCTGTTTTACAACATTAAGTAAAAATGTTAGTAATATTTTCAAGTTTAGAACTTTGTACATGCAGAGATAATATTCAGCAACTCAGACACAGACTTAAATATTAGTTTAAAAAGCGATGAATGTCAGGAAGTTAAGTAGACCTTCAGTTTGCAATTATGTTTCTGTATCAAACACTGAGAACCTCGGGTTTTTGTTTCATTGCTTGTTTTGTTTTTTGCTTTGTTTTTTGGTTAATGTAAAGTTTGTTTAGGCATAATAGGATTTATTGAAAGAGATATATGCCTTTTTCATAATAATTTACAGCTCATCAACTTTGGACTCAATGCAATTCTACTTTTGAACTTGTTATAAGGTGTAGCTCCAGTTATTGATTTTAATTTTAATGGAATATAAAATCAAAATGTTCTGCTAAATATTTCTTCATTTATACTGCTAAATATCTCTTCATTTATAGTGCAGCTGTCAGGTTTACGCTTTACCATGACAGAGTGACTATCCCTATTAAAAATCAGTTATTGATGCCTGTAGAATTTTAATTGTTATTTTGTTTCCAATATCTAATTTTGTTCTTGTGTAAATAGTTTGTGTGTGTGTGTGTTAAGTTAAACCCATTACTAACAATTAATTTATAATAGTTTACAGTTCAGAAAAGTAAATGTTAGCCAAGTTTAACTAGAGGAATCTGAATCAGGCTGTGTAATCACCTCTTAATAAAATTTTTAAAACTAAAGTACAATCTTGGTAATTTTGAAGGTCTAAGTTTTGCTTTAAATAACATCACCAAAATCTCCTTGAGTGCACACACACACAATCATTGGCCTACAGAGAAACAGTGCATATGTACATTCTCATAATTTTGGAGTGTTTTTATGTCTGTCTGAGAAAAGGAAAAAAGTTAAGGAAGTATTCTTTTCTATCTGTAGCCATTATCTGCATGCATACATAGATTTTTAGTGAAGACAAAGATATCTTTATCTAGACAATGGATAGGCCTACTGATTTCAAACTTGCACTTTTGCCGTACATTGCATTTGCTCCTCCATCTCTGGATACTGTTTTTCAAAATTGCCTGAGGCTACAGTACAGCACCTCAGATCCCCAAGGCCCATTGCCTGGCTCCTAATAGCCACTCTCCATCTGTGTCATATGAACAGCTGATGAGATAGCTCCAGTCTCTGTATTTTGGGAGCACATTCACCCAGGTTAAAATGCTGGGGTTGCCAAGGAGCAGTCAGAAGCCATTAATGTTGTGAAAATTTGCCTTGCAGCAGTTCCTTGGCATTGTGGAATTGCTATGACTGTAAAAGGATTTATGCTTATGGACGCATAGATGTAGGGTGGTGGGCTACTAGGGGAAAAAAAAAATCTAAAATAGCATTTTTCCAAAGTAGATAGCTGTAGATGGTCTGATGTCTTTTCCTTAGATTGCTCTTCAACCTTTTTATTTACCTTTTTATTTGCCATAAGTCAGAGAGAGAGAGAGAGAGAGAGAGAGAGAGAGAGAGAAAGAGAAAGAGAGAAAGAGAGAGACCCCTTTGGCAGATGGAAGGGAACTACTCAGCCTTGCGGCAGGGTGGTTGTAATGAAATGGCCTGTCATTCTGTAAATAGTGAGGACCATCTTTTCTATGTGATGGGAGATATCACATTGCAGTTAAAATGGGAATGTCAATAAAATTAATCTTCCAGTTCTTTGCTCAGGATTTTTTTTTGTTTCTTTTCTTAAATAGGGTTAGATGGTTGCAACCCTTATGCATTCATGCATGTATGCTTAAGACATACCAAAGAAAAGGTGTGTGAGTAATACCAATAAAAGAGAAATAAAATTTAAAGTTTGGAGGAAAATAGTCTGTATAGCAGTAATGCATTTAATTTAACAGTGCTAAAGAGCTAGAAGAGGCAATAGGAATTAGTTTGTGGGTCTGTAGCATTCCTCAGGAAGCCATGAAGCCTCTGACTCAGGCTACATTGAGCACAGAGTTTATTGTTTTAGGCTTTCTTGGACAAGGTTTTTACTTAGCATGGGATTTATGGCATTTACTGCTAATGAATGTCTATTCTTAAATTACAAAACCACCGTCTCAGTGCAATTCCCAGATGTCCTTCCAGGACCTCAGCTTCTTAAACACCAGCAGGGAGCATAAACTCTCCACTTCTCTGTTTTCCTCTTTCGTGTGGCTCCGGGCTAATGATGTGTAAGGAAAACACAGCAATCTATAAAGTCTCAGTGCTGTCCCAGTATTCTTCATTTATTTTGCATTTGATTATGCCACAAGTCAGATCTTGTTTCTTTCTTTTTTTTAAGAGTTATTAGTTCAAATATTAATGTAGGAATATGGCATATATTGCTGCTCTTGATTGATGCCTTCCGAAAAACAGGAAGACGTGCTCGTATGAATTTTAAGAAAGTAGGGGTCCTGCAATGCCTTGCCAGAAGAGTTTTTCAGATACATAATTTAGATGCCCTCCAGGCATGCTTTCAAGGCATTTTTGCTGGAGGGCAAGAAAAAATAACTATGACTGTTAAAAGTAAATGATTTTTTGCTAATGCACAATTAATGCCAGGGAAAACCACTGAAGAGAAAGATGTTGATGGAAAGTTCTGATTAAGTAAGCGCCCTACCTTGATGTACATCTTTTTTTGTTTTAGAAATAGGATAATAATCATTGATGCAGACACAAAAGGTTTTCATGTTTTGCAAAAACCATTCAGGATCATGCTAGATATGTTTATGTTTGCAGACTTACATGTACAAGCTTACATCCATGCATGCATTATAGGAAGATGAGAGCCTATAGGGAAGGGATGAGCTGATAATATGTTACATTCATTGAACAGTAAAATACTTATTGTCACCTATGCAGAGGGTTCAAAATACATAGACCACAGAACATTTAACTTGAGGGTTGCAAGGAATGCATTTATAGCAAATAGGTTTTCTCGTGGTAGATTTTCAGTTTGTATCCTATAACTTACAAAGAGATATTGTACTATGTAAAATATACATCTATAATTGAATTAATGGTCTGTGCATGTATGCGGTATAAAATTAATATTTGGATGGACAATGGTTTCTAACTTTTTGTATTTGCATCAAAATTATATTTAATAAGACATTAAAATACTGGATATTTTCATATATGAATAACAGTTCATTAGTGCTTGAGTAGTTAATCTGATTAATAAAATGGGTTTACAGTGGTTGTTTATTGTCTCTTGTCATATTTCTTTTTCTTTTAGGGGATGGTTTAGACAACAGTGTAGCGTCTCCCGGCACAGGTGATGATGATGATCCAGACAAGGATAAAAAGCGTCAAAAGAAAAGAGGAATCTTCCCCAAAGTAGCAACAAATATCATGAGAGCGTGGCTTTTCCAACATCTCACAGTAAGTGGACTTTTAAAGAATTTTAAAGAATTCTATTGAACAAAAGTCCTTTTTCAGAATTTGAAATCTATTCACTTATTACTTTAATATAAAAAAAACTTGATTTTTGCCATTGGGCCTGGGAATCTCATGGGAGCCCTGTGAAATGTTCCATTGTGCATAAGTTTAAAAAGCACTCTCCCTTGATTTTTTCTTATTATATAATTTGTAACTCTTTTTATTGTACAGGTAGTCTTAATTTAGTGATTTGGGAAAGCAACTGTGTTGTTAAGCAAAGTGATTGCTATGTGAAACATCTTTTACAATTCTAATTCACTTTACTTAGCTCACAGACCTGCAAAGGTTGCAAATGCGAGTCTTGGTTGCAAAGTTTCTTTTTCATCATTGTTGTAACTATGAATGTTTGCTGAATGAGGTAGTCGCTAAATGAGGACTACTTACATTTAATGGGTTTTGTTTTAATTAGGTTGATTATTTTGTTTTATTTTTTTTAATTTTGGGCGCTACTTTGAGTCATAAACACGAGATGTGAGGCTGTATAAATTCAATAAATAAAACAGAGTAAAATGTATTAAGGTATTATAAGTTGATATTTTACTGTGATGTAAATTTTAGAGTGATATGTGTGTATAATATATGAATGATCTCAAGTAAAAAATACAATGAAAAATAACAATTAATTTTGGTGTCTTTTGCAAACAGTTTAAATCTATAGAGTACCCAATCAGGTACCTTCCACATGTGCCGGCCTTTATTTTCTATGATTCTTAGCATATCTGGAAGACACCAACTTGGAGAACGTTGGTTTTCAGTCAGAGATTTCACACGCATGCATACAGAGAAAATATATGGTCATGAGTGAAGGATCAGCCAAGCTTAAATACCTTTTCAAGAGTTATTGTGAACCAAGCAGTTCTGTGATATCATTGATGTTATTTAATGTGAGTTTCAGATCTTCACAGAATTAAACGGATGTGATTAGTCCCTAGACTAGACCTTCAGAATGGTGGTATTATACTCATTTTGGAATGTACAATACTTTTGTATGTATATTCCAAATATACAGAAAATCTATTTGTTTTGTATCAAGGATATACTTTTTAATAATTTCTCAATCCTGTCTGTTTAAATTGCTCTTTTAATCTCATATTTTAAAAGCTAGCCATAATGACTTTAGGGGAAACTGATTAAAAATGGGCAAAGGAATATTTTAATAGCCACCTATGCTCTTTGCAACTGGTATTTTGAGATGGTATTTTGTTTACTGTTACCATTTAGACATGAAAATATGTATCTTCAGAAGTAATAGTCACTTAATTTTACATGGAAATAGAACATTATCAATTTGTGATACTTTCCACCTGTGAGGACTAATAATTTAAAAGAAAGCCCATGCTGAACTATCACAATGATAAGTGCTTATAATTATCAACTTATATCAACTTATAATTATAGGTAGTCCTTGACTTACAACCACATTTGGAGCTCTAAATTTCTGTTGCTAAACAGGACAGTTGTTAAGTGAGTTTTGCCTCATTTAACAAACATTCTTGCCACAGTTGTTAAATGTAAAATGTAAGAACATTATTATCAAACTAAGGTGAATTGATCTAGCCTAAAGGATCAGGATTACTCCAAATAGCCAGCATCTCTGCTAGAATAGTGGTTATTTTTGCCTTCCAGCTATGGCCATTCCAAAGGTCAGGTGCCCCATAGTACCCAGTTGGCTCAGAGGAATTAGACAGAACATGAGTCTCTGGGCTGATTACTTAACCAAAGACAAAATAATGAGTCCTAAGCAAATACTGACTAATTGAAAGGGCTGTAAATCCATTACATATTGGTCAGGGATAATCAGGAGTATTTAATCACTTTTATCTATTCAAGAGCACTGAAGCTGCAACAGCAAAGCCCTGAACCTTGCCATGTGCTTATTATTCTCATCATTATCAAAATTACTTCACAGCTGTTCTTTGCTACATCACCTCAGCTGGAGATTTACTAACCTGTAAAATGTTTTTAATTTGGAAGTTGAGTGTAACGGGAATGATTTTTTTTAATGTTAAGGAAGTGGTTTGAAGAGCAGCACAATGATAAAGAAAAAAAATGGAGGCTATGAGTACATTCTTTCAGTTCACTTAAGCTTGATGTTAATTTCTCTCACTAAATCTTCTACATCATTTCTATGGATTTCTCCACTGCTTTTTGTTCTAAATGGCTGTGTGAAAAGTGTTCAGCTCATGCTTTCTTAGAAGCATTTGTGTAGAATGTAGAAGCATTTGTGTATATTGTATTTTGAATATCATTTTCCAGGACATTATTTAGTCTTGAAATTCTGTGCTTTTCCCCCCCAAAACTCACTTTAAATGACTTAAAGAAATTTATGACTTAAAGAAAATCAGAAGCTTTGATGAGGATGACCTTTGAATAAGTTTTTTTAAAAATACCATCTAATGAGTTTATAGATGTCAAAGAATGTACTATCTCATAATTCTCCAGCTTCAGAATCATAGTGCAGACCTCTGATTAGTGAATTGAAAATTCAAAAGAAGTTTGCCCTAAATGCATGTAGAGGAGGGGGAAAAAAATTGTCCTCTTATATAGTGCCTCATTTCATTATTTTTTTTTCTTTTTGGCTCTCAAGCAATGTAGTTCTTTCAAAATATATTTTTTCTCCAATCATAAAAATAAATGTTAATTTTTATAAACACTATTTCAGAGAAAATTTATTATAAAAACAGCTTCTAATTTTAAACCTTTTCTGTTCATTACTTCTCTAACCTTATTTCAAATAGGTTGGTCCACTCTTTTGTGCTGTGTGACCTATTCTTCTATTACAATAATCTTACAATGTACCCTTTTCGCTCATTCTTTAAAGAAGAAACTAATTGAATTATCTCATTATTTTAATTTGTTAAGCAAATGTATTTTACATCCCAGGATGTGTTCTTAAAGAAGGGGCTGCTAAGGCTTTGCCCCTTGAATGGCCCATTGGTGCATTTTGACATTCATGCATTCTCATTAATGAAAGGAACATAAAAGGACTCTGGCTGTATTTTTTTTTTCAAACACCCAACTAGTATGGAACAACTTTTTCCATAACCCACAGGGGTCCCTCTACATATGTTCTCAACTGCAAGCTATTGTCACCTATTTTGAATACCTGAAAAGGACAAATAAAATACTAAAGGCCAACTGTAGCAATTGTTAGTTTCAATATGACAAAAATCATTAACCTCTTCTTGGCCTGGCAGGCAAAGTACTGAGAAAAACTCTTAAGCCACAAAACATTTTTGTATGTGGAATATTTTATCAGGTACAGATATACATACATACATACACACACATTAACAATACTTAGTGCAATAAATATTATACAATGCAATTAAAACTTTATTGTACTACTGTATATTAACAAAAGTTTTTGAAACTTGATTAGAATTCTTCATAAATTAATTTGACCTGTTGTCATTAACTTTTCATAATGTTATCTCCTGATTATAAATACTACAGTTCCACAATCCTACTTTTGGAACAACTTCAGAAATACAAATGGTAGGCTATATGCAAAACTTTTTTTATACAAATATCCTCTGCTTCCATTATAATCCAACCATATTCTTATTATGCAATTGGGAACTGCCTTGTGTATGGTATTACAATAGTACAGGAAGATGAAAGGATCTGAGGATGAATTGCTTGGAAGCATACTTGCTTATTCTGGATAATATCCAGTGTTTGAGTGGGTAAAGGAAATCCTAACATGGTACTATAAGCTTTTCAGAAGTACATAAAGATTATGATATCAGAAAGGTAAACCTGACATTAAGGCTGTTGTTACTTAACTTCAAAGAGAGTTAAAGAAAAGGAACAGCAAGAAATCTGACCCGTGCAAGGTTTATACACAGCCTTGGAAAGCTATTTTTTTTTTTCTTCCATGCCAAACAGCCCCTTAGTACACTCAATTAGTCTTTCAGTCATCTCTGTTTTCCTCTCTCAAGTGCTCTCCTCTGCAAATAACATATTTGATCATAGAATGAAAACAGGAAGTATTTGTGTATAAAGATACCTCTTGCTCACATTGGTATTAGGCTGAAAGTTTTCTTATCGTAGCAGCCACAGAAAAACTTATTGCATGATGTAAAACTGTTTTCAAGATAAATGTACATAATCAGAACTGGCAGCAGTTGCAAAGGAAGGAACTATGTAAGTTTATGATTTTTTTACTTTTAGTCATCTGAGATGAGAATTGCACATTGATTCCATTCAGTCTTATTTCCCTTTTAGAAGTATCTTATATAGAATTTAGATTTAAACTCAGATTAATACATTTTAATTTTTTAAAAGAAAGATTTTTATCCATTCACTTTAATTTACCATATAAATAGTTTTTGCATGGTTTATTAAACTTAAATGTTTATTTTTATTACCATTTACAAAGAGCAGTTGTGGTTTGTTCTAATTATAAGTCTGTAAATCATTTAATATTGTGAGATCTCTGTGTTGCTCACAATTGCTTCCTGAATTGTAGTTTAAAACACTTGTTATTCAGTTATTCTGAAACACTGAGATATGAAAGAATAAACTCCAGTAGGAAATGTCCATAAATGGAGTTGACCAAGGGCATAATTGATACTATTAACTGTTCTGTTCTGAATAATATTAACTGGTTAATACATAGAACCTGAGCCTCTATCATAAAACTGCAGGCTGCGGTGTTTTCAATCAAAATAGAGGTGGAAGGAATATTATTAAAGATAAGTGCATCATCTTATTAATTTGTCTTTAGATGATTATTCATATCAAAGCCAGCAATCAGTACATGATAATCAAGCTATCTTGTTTTTCTTTGGAATGTAGCCAAACAAGTTTCTTCTACCAGAAGTTCTCCCCGTGCAAGCTTTTTTAAACTGATGTTTTAAAGGGTAGAGATTTGTTTCTCTATCTGGCTAATTATGTGCAATCAAGTTGGTATAGACCAGGGATGTCAAACTGCCAGC